GAGAAATCAATTTGGAGACACTTCTGATAGTCCAGGCAATGCAGGTGAAAAGAAAGGCCAGATTTACTGTAGATTCATCAAGGAACTCATATGTCCACCAATAGTTAGACTCTAGTGATATCACAATGAACAGTCTCTGCCCTCTGGCACATGCAACTCAATATAATATATAAACAAAAGCCCTAGCTTGTTTGGCTCAGTGGTGAGAGCACTGGCCTGTGGACTGAAGGGTCCCAGGTTCGATTCTGGTCAGGGGCATGTACCTTGGTTGCAGGCTCAATCCCCAGCTCCGGGAAGCAACCAATTGATGTGTCTCTCACATTGGTTTCATTTTCTCTCTCTCTCCCTTTCACTCTCTCTGAAAAGCAATGGAAAAAATATCCTCAGGTAAAAATATATATATATACACACACACACAAATAATTAAATAACTGTATGTATGCAAAATGCTGTAAAGGAAAAGCTATGGTGTTACTAGTATATATGACAAAATTGGCTAACCTTTTCTACAGAAGCCAGGGAATGCTTCCCAGAGGGTGCAGTGCCTAAGATGAGACCAAAATGAAAGTGGCATTGGAATTGGCTAGATAAAGGTTTGGGGAGGCATAGTTGGGAAAGAGCTTATTTCCAGAAAAATGGAACTGACAAGAGTCAAGTGAGAAGACTGCATGATGACAGAATCAAGAGAACTCCAGCATGGCTAGAACAAAGAATTATTAAAAGTGGTGTGAGTAGTAAAGGCCAGACGTGCAAAGCTCTAAAGGTTAATATAAGGCTTTTAGATTTTATTCTAAGGTCAACAGGAAGCCACTGAAGGTCTTTAAGCATAACCTATTTTATAACTTGGAAAGATTATTCTGACTTCTGTGTGGAGAACAGACTAGACATGCTGAAGTGGTTATGAAAAGTGAGTTAGCCTAATATAAATTCCAACAGGACAGCTGCACACCCAGTTGGTATATACCCAATGTCTAGCAGTGCCTGGTACACTGAAAGCATTCAATGCATATTTGTTAAATATTTGGATAAATGAATGAAATTATCTACCTATTCATGTTTATCTGACCTGAAAATATCTTGAATGAGCAAAGCCATTTTCAAGGTATAAAGTTTACTATCTGTAAGGAAAACAACACCTTTAATATATGGAGCAAATCTTTCTCTGAAGGACCTTGAAGCATTGATGATAAAATATCTCTAAAAACATTTTTGGCGTCATTTGGATGACAGTGAGAAGAAACATTGTCCCTCTGAATTCCCTATCTCAAGGAGCATATGCCAACAAAAAGAATAAAGCTATAAATGGGAATTATTCACCAGAATATATTGGTTTTCCATTTGTATGAGTCAATTTTCAAAATTATACATTATAACTTTTTATAACAGTGTTATTGTTATACAATTCATGTACCATCAAATTCGCCCTTTTGAAATGTGCAGTTCAGTGAATTGTACTACACTGAGAGAAATGTATAACCATCACCACTATGTAATTTTACAATGTTTTTATCACATCCCTTCACAAAAAAAATCCTAGAGGCATTAGCAGAAATTTCCACAATCCCCCATGGCCCCAGCCCCCTGATAACTACTAACATACTTTCTGTCTCAATGGATTTGCTATTCTAGACATTTCATATGAACAGAATCATATAATATGTGGTCTTTTATGAATTTTTCCACATAGCATAATGTTCGTAAGGTCCAATCATGTTGTAGCAGGCATCAGGAATTTATTCCTATCTTACTGCCAAATAATATTTCATTGTATGATTTAAAAATGATTTTATTTATCCATCTGTCAGCCGATGAACACTTAGATCATTTCCACTTTTGAGATATTACAAATAAAGCTGTCGTGAATATCTATGCATGTTTTTTGTTTTTGTATTAAATTCTCTTGGGTATACACCTTGGTCTGGAATTGTTGAGTCATATGGTAACTCTATATTTAACTTTATGTGGAACTACCAAGCTGTTTTTCAAATCGCTGCACCATTTTACAATCCCTCCAGCGAGGCATGAGTGTTCAGATTTCTCCACAGCCTCAGCAAGGTTTGTTACTGTCAATTGTTTTTATTGTAGCCACCGTTGGGGGTGTGAAGTGATATCCCATTGTCCTGTTGTTTTGATTTGCATGACTAATAATGTAGAAAATCTTTTCTAGAGACTAATGATGGAGAACATCTTTTCATATGTTTTAGTAACTATTATATACCTTTTTTGGAGAATGTCTATTTAAATCCTTTGCCCATTTTCATTAGGTTACTTTTTATTGAGGTGTTGTATAATTGTCTTAATTAGTGCCTCCATGTAAACTTTAGCTTGAAGAATGTAATACCTGAAAGCAATATCTTATTTCTGATTTTAAAGCAAATGCTTCCAGTAATTTCATTATGCTCTTGGAATTATAATAGTTCAAACATTTTTCAGTTTTCTATTTCTATGATGTTTTATCTTTAATTTGTGTATTTGTAACTGCAGAACCAACTCAAAAATGGTCCTATTCTGTTTCTAACAAGATACTGAGTTGTTTTTGGGAGACAACAGATCAAAACTGCAAGTCATGCATCTGAGGCATGTACAGAAGAGAGAACTTTGACCTCCAGCTGCACCTGAAGCAGAGCATCGTTATAGCCCTTATAGTAAGTACAATATTAAGTAAAAATGAAAAAAACTACATATAATTAGAGATAATTCCCCTATTAAATCACTGAAAGAGTATGGAATAATGTCTTACCTTCTTTTAAATTTTTTTAAATATATTTTTATTGATTTCAGAGAGAGGAAGAGAGAGGGGGAGAGAGAGATAGAAACATCAGTGATGAGAGAGAGTCATTGATTGGCTGCCTCCTTCACGGCCCTACTGGGGATCGAACCCGCAACTCGGTCATGTGCCCTGTCCAGGAATCAAACTGAGATCTCCTGGATCATAGGTTGATGCTCAACCACAGAGCCACACCGGCCAGGCACCTTCTTTTAATGTTTTGGACAATTTTTCCAATGCTTTCTACTTTACTGACGGGAGTTATAACTACATAACTTTTGGCACTATGGTAAATCATTGTTAGAGTCCTTCTCTATCCAGTTGGAGGATACAGGTGTCCTACCCCTAGATCAGAACTTGGAGGTCACCTTAACTTATTTCATTTGGCAGAATACCCTCTGGGTCCATCCATGTTGATGACTGTCAAGAGGGAAGGCGAGTTGTGGGGTTGGGTGAAAAAGGGAGTTAATGGAGAAAAAAGAATATCTATAATACTTTCAACAATAAATATAATTTTTTTAAAAAAAAGAAGTACAAGTACAAATTGGTACTTAGAAAATATTTATGGGGATATAAAGTACAGCATAGGAAATATAGTCAATAATATTGAAATAACTATATGTGGTGCTAGGTCGGTACTTGAAATATGGGGGGATCACTTTGTAATGTATATGTTTGTCTACATACTATGCTCTACACCTGAAACTACTAAAAATAATGCTGAATGTGGTTCAAGTAGTGATCTTACAAAGAAAGCATCTATGGAAGAATTGAATAAAATAGGAGCGAATAGCCTAGATGGAAGATAGCAGGCCAAGAGGCAGAATAATAGTTCTCATATATCTGACGTCCAAGATGGCTGAGACTTATCCCCTATCACCAAAGCTTACGATCTAGAGTGCTGCACATGGCAGTTTAGGGTGTAGATATTCATTCACCAAAAAGATGAACCTTCCAACGACAGCTGTCCACAAACTCCATGGGCCACTCCTCTGGGGGATCTTTGTCCAGATTCCCCTTTATAGGCCTTCAGACCTTTATAAGATATTTAACAAATATCCCTTTCTTAGGAAATTAGGCAGAAATATAGAATTACGGTTATAAATAAATAATAATTACTTGAATAATTATTCTCAAGTAATTCATATCATAATATTTCTCAGAAAGATAAAATCACAAATGAATCATGTAACGTTTTCAAAGTCTTACAAAATATTTATTCAAAAATGATGCAAGCTTGTTATCTAACGTGTTACTAATAAAATTTAGACATGCCTCATGAGGGACATGGTTCTTGATTGGCCCTCACCACTGCCAGTGATTTCAACCTCAGGAGGGGTTATCAAAGGGCCAAATAAAACTCCTCCTCCCACCATGATCCAAATTTGCAGGGGCAAATTTCCAAAAAGATGAAGGATTCAGATCTCATCTGGCATATGTTTCTCTAATGGTTTAAACAGAAGATATTTTTTTATTTTCTCAGGATATTGAGAACATTTTTTTTCCAGTTGAAATTCATCCAACAGAAATATGATATATCAGGTGCCTCTATGGATTTCTTAAAGTGGAAATATGTATTTACTGAGATTAGACTTAGAAGTACTAGATCTCGGAGATTGCTTTGGGAATGTGAGAAAGTCATTATTTGTGGGCTTTCAGTAATTTGTTTTGAATTTGTTAAATTCATTGATGTGTGACTGGTTATCAAAGCTTGATAAATAGCTTATAAATCACTTTAGAGTTGGCAGAAATAAATATTAATGAGTCAATTTTCAAGGAATTTAAAGTCAGTTTCTCCTTTTTCTGTCACTATAAGTTAAAAAGAGAATCTCAGTTGTTTCATTTAGAAAAGACTCAATTTTTTAGTAATAATTTATGTTTATTAAGATAGTCACAGGGCTGTTTATGACATGAAATCAAACTATTTACTTAAAAGAGAAGAATGCACTTTGTAAATCCACCATGCAATTCCATATGACAAAAGTTTTGTTTAAAACATATTTATAAAATATAAGCACAATGATGATTCTAATCTTTTGAGATACTCAAGTAACCTGCTTCCCCGAGGTTTGCTCAATGCTGGCCTCAGAACAGGGGAAGAAAAAACTTAATTTTGGGAAGCTGCCATAATTTTAAAGTGCATAATTACGGGCTTATAATCAACAGACTTAATGTATAAGGCTAATCTTTGAGTTCTAAAAAATCAGACAGTGAATATGGAGCGGCTGCTTACCTGTTCCGATAATTTTTGCCCGTCCAGGTGAGCCCGCATCACAGCATCATTAACAAGCAAGTGGAAGTTCAGGAGCACGTGTTCAATGTCATATGTTCCGTGCATGGCATCTGACAGCTCTTCCAATGACCGGATGTATGCATGCCAGTGTGGACTGAGCTCTGCCACGTGTGCCAAGCAGCCTCTCACGACGTTGAGGCAGTACCCCATGCAGGGCTTCCTGAGAGTCAGGCCCTGGCAGTGCGAGCAGTACTGCATCCTCAGCAGGGCTCGGCCACACTCCCTGGAGAAGGGCAGATGGTCCGTGGTATTGATGACTTCAATGCCCAGATTCAGCGCCTGCAGAAACGTGCGGCTGGGCAGCAGCGACCTCCCCATCTGCCCCATTACTCTTTGGGGGATGTCACCAAACGGGTTAATGTCCCGGCGAGCCATCCGGATGCATTCTGAGTATTCCAGGGAACCGTCAGTCACAGCAGGGTTAATGAGATGACTGTAGACCAGAGGGAAAAGACTGTCAAAGAATCGGTTCACAAATTCTTCAGGATTAACATCCGCACCGAATAAATAGAGCCCTACATCAGTGAAGAACTCCTGAACTGAAGCAGCAGCCTCTAAGGCCATGTTCCTGTAGGTGTTGCAAAAAAGTATACTGGTATAATTTTCTGCTTGTCTGATGAGAGTTTCAAGGGTTTCTGTAACAAAAGCAGAGGCAAAGGATGGAAAAGCTTAGTATTCATGTTAAAACTGTTCACCCATCTGCTCCAGGCGGCAAATGAGCTTAATGCATTGAAAATAATTTAAGGGTCTAAATGAGGACACTCAGCCTACAAACCCAATTTAGCTTTCGAAGGATAATGGCTGGCCAATAGTGAGCATTACACACAGCACACTTGTTTTACAGAAATATATTTCCAAGAATCAAACACCTTTAAAAAATATAGAAATAAAAATAGAATTCACATGTATGGTATTTTCTTATTTTATCCCAGAGTCATTCATAACCCACTAATGACAGGAAAAAAAAAAGTATCATTGAGAAAATAATTTCCCATCATGAGTCCATTATTTATAAAAGATAGTGATATTAAATTCTTGATTCAACACCTGCTGTACTCTTATATTTTTTCAAAATCTTTTTCAGAATGAAAACTAGTAGACTATGCACTCATTGCTCCAAAGAGAGTATAATTCCCAAAGGAAGCCTGACAATCTTTGGACCTCCTTGCATGTTCAAATTAAAAGAAAGGAAAAGATTTTATGATTAAACCACTAAATTGTCAAACCTTGTTTACACAGTGGGAAAGTCATGGGCAACGCTAATTGATGAAAATAAATAATTGCACGACCACCTTCTCTCTCAACTATCGTCTGTTGGTTTTATCATCTTGTCTTCAAAGACTTTACTGTGGGACATTTTATTTTTACTTAAGTAATTGATACTTTCAAATCAATTTCTCCACAGAAAGAACAGAGAATAATTCATCCACAAATTAAGAGAGGTTAATAGTAATCAGCAAGTAAGTGTTATATTTCAAAATGATAGCTTTAGGTAGCAGTTGACCACCTTGGATACACTAGTAATTACATTTCATAATTATCCTAAATGGGATACTAGACTATATCAATATATAATCAATTATAAAATACATCAATAAAATTATCTCCCATAGCCCCAATCTTATAGTTATTTTTAATTAGGTTGTAAAAGGCCACACAATAATTCAGTAATAAAACCATTGAATATATTATAAAAAGAGTTGGAAAAACAGTAGAATAAAATTAAATAAAAAGCATAGGTGCAGGGAGAGCTGGTGAAATGGAACTGTGTCATGAATATGCCATAGTACCTAAAATAAACTAACCACTTTCGTGAAAAGCACAGACAGATAAAACACAATATCATGTATCCTGATCCTGTTCAGTCACGAGACTGACTCAGGTTGGGTTCCAGAATTTAGTGTGATATATCGAGGTGCATGCAATCGTGTCTGTTCACCTTAAAACCCATATGTTGAAACGTAATCTCTAATATGATGTTATTTAGAAGTGGAACCTTTCAGGAGGTGATTAGGTGATGAGGGTGGAGCCCTCATGAATGGGATTAGTGCCCTTATAAAAGAGATTTCAGAGTGTTCCCTTGCCTTTTCTACCAGGTGAGGACACAGAGAGAAGAGAGTTATCTGTGAACCAGAAAGTGGACTCTCACCAGATAAAGAATCCATGAGCACCTTGATCGTGGACTTCTCACCCTTCAGAACTGTGAGAAATAAACTTCTCTTGTTTATTAAACCACCCAGCCTATGATATTCTGTTGCAGCAGCCAGAACTATGAGAGAAATTCTACTTTGCAATTAAAGGCAACAGATCTTAAAGGCTGTTGCAACTAAATTACTACAAACTCAAGACTGTTAACTAGGCAGAACTCAGAAGTTACCTATGCATCTCTAGTGCCCACTGAAGTAAAAGCTGTATGCTAAATCTCAATTAAAATGTAATGAAAATAGGATGGTAACTGAAGGCTTCAACTGAGATTAGCTGCTTTGCCACTCGGGAGAGAATTAACACATGCTTTCCCCAAGTTGGCCTGATCATCTGGGCTGCTGGGGAAAATACTGATTGCCAGGTCTTTGCACTGTGGGTTCTCACTCACTAGGCCTGTCTTGATCCAGGAAGGGGGAATTTATTTTGACTTGGCCAGTTTTTGAAACATTGCAATTGTAGATATCTATAAAATGGTTTTTTTGCTTTTATAATGGTTCAACAAGCATTCTACCATGACAGTCTGACCCCACAGCTGCAGTGTCAGCCACTACTAAAGCTTTGACAGATCCACGGGAATGCGTGTGAGAAGCAAATTAAACTTCCGTGGTCAGAACTAAAATAAAACTGCTAAGCTTATTTATTATCAATAGCATAGGCTCATTTTTCTCAGCACCTTCTAAGTGGCTATGAACTGTGAGATAGGTTGCCTTTTTTTTTTTTAATTTAAAATAAGGATAGGTTAAAGATACCCATACATCACAGGCACTATTTCATGCTTTGCTAAGGTGCATGCTATAGGTGAGTGTGACTGATACCTGCCATGTTTCTCAGTGAAATAAAGGTTGCATGCTACCCCAGGCAATAGAACAAAGATTCTATCTGACTTCTGCCAACTCTAAATAATGCTCAAATACACAATTTTTTAAAGTAAAAAACAAAATGTTTCTTATAAATCCTACTCCCATTAATTTATAACTTATTCAGGAATATAGGGAATTTATCTTTTCCATTGCTATAGCTAACAGGTTGGCCAATTAATTTTTTATAAAAGCAATATTGAAGAGAATATACTTAATATTTAGCTGCATCCATTCTAAAATATGAGTGCAGTGCTTCCAAATATCATTTCTTTGGAAGATTGTCCTGCACTACACGCAATAACCTAATTTGATTACTCTTTGAGTCTGTAATTTAAAAATAAATTTCTAAAAATATTCTACAATGTTGATTTTATTTTATTTCAGAGTAATTTTCTTCTGCTTTGTTTTCATTTTTCTTTTAACAAAATAACTAAAAAACTGAAGAAAATTTTTAAGAAATGTATTGCAGCAACATTTTAAAACTTTTCCTAATAGCACATGCATTAAAATTTCAGTTTTTATAATTATGCATTAATTTTATTACCCTTTGAATGAAAGATTATATGTTCTCAAACTTCAACATTCTGATCATTTCCTGAATAGCTAAACACACAATGGCTCTTTAAAATGAATGTATTCTGTAAAAGCTTTTTACTATTCTATTAACTCATCACAATATAAGTTATTTTTCTTTTTTCTTTTTTCTTTTTTTTCTTTTTCATTTCAATCTTCATTAAATCTGATGTTAACACATTCCAGTTATTGAATTACCTAAACATATGTTAGGTATGTATTTATTTTACATACATATTTCATGATTTTATGTACATATTTGTGATTATAAATGTTTCTTCAATCAATGACAAAAACTGTAAACACATGTTCTATATACATTTCATTTTTTAATGTGTAGAAATGAACATTTGTGAAGTTTTTGGCCCTAATAGGTTCATAAAATTTTAATATAAAAATTCTAATATCAGAAGCTAAACAATCTAGAAGCCAATCTATTGAATTATTTGTTCATACATTTTATAAAAAGTTGGTAAAATCAGAAGTTAAATTTACTAATATTAGTTGTATCAACTCTGAATTTGCAGAACTATCACCTAGTTTTCCTACTGTGTTCATCACAGAGTTGAGTGTTTCCATTTTATAAAATTAATATTTTTATTTTAACAACAGTTTAAACTTTTTAAAAGAATTGTCAAACAAAATATTTTGCTGCAATGCAAAAGAATAATTCACATATAAAATCCTAGTTTATAAATCCAAGGTAGGTTAGGTGCTGAATAATTCATCACATTTACTGAACTATTAAGGAGACACTAAACAGTTCCTTTCATTACAAAGTTTTAATAAATAAAAAATGCCCCTCATTCAAGCTATACAAACAATAGTTTTCTATTCATGTGCTAATAAAGGTGGTAACATATCTTGAAAATAGATAAACATTTGTTAGGCTTATGTAAGGAATTTAAGAAACAGACTAGAAAAAATGATCTTTCTGTTCTTTTTCACTGAGCATTTCAATAACCTCTTCTTTTCAATAATATCAGATCAAGTCTATCACGGCCAAAACCCCAACTTTCCTCTTGTTCCTAAGAGTGGTAGATTGAATAAAAACTGCAATCTAATTGCTGATTGAATAAAAACATAATTTCTTCCAGCTTTATGAGAAAATCGATTTATGTATTATCTCACAAAGTAAAAAGTTGAAATGCATAACATTTATATGCACCCACTGCAATTTTCAACATTAACATTCTGTGAAATCTTAATAAGAAAACACCTACAACAAGAAGTTTTATTGCCACCTTTCCCAGCCCATACTCCCTTCAGAGACATTTTATTATACATATAAATGATTTCTGAAACTTAAATCAAGGGTCTAAACTTAAGTAAAACTGGTGGAGATAAAATCAGATGATAGGGATTTAAAATTAAAGTTGACAAATTTCAAAATCAGTGAAGATTAATATGCAGGTATCTTTTGCAATGAGAGAAATTTAATATTTATAGGGCTCTTACTACTTTAAAGATAAAGTTGACTTCAAATGTAATGATCATGAAATAACTGTTGTAATAACCTAACCAATCCTCACAGGAACAGACATTTTATGAACCTTTTCATATTTTTATTATTTTTGATATATGAACATTTTAAAATACAAAATTTAAAGTGTCTGTTACAATTCAAGACCACAGATATCCTCAAACATAGCAATAAAATAGATGGAGAAAGATTAAATTATATCAACCATGGATAATCAGATGGTTTTACAATGTGTATATGGGATGGAAATTTTCATAGTAAATTTACATTTTTGTGCATTGCAATTCTCAAGTCGCAGATTGTGTTACTACAACAGATACTTCATTACTAAACTGCTACTTTAGAGCTAGTTTGTGCCCTAGATTATACATCCTTCTGAATTGAATTACAGGCAGATAACAAGATATGTAGATCATTTTAAGAGTAATTTCTCAACCAGTTTTAACCACATATACATTGCAATGAGCTGTAATTCCTCTGCTTTATCTTAAACAAAAATGCCTTCTAATAATTT